GTCCCGCGGGGAGATCATACGCCCCCTGAATACCATGGCCCAGGAACGGAGCTAGTGTAGGAGAAAGGAGGGCAGCCGCCACCCCTAACCTTTTGAAAAATATTAAACAAGGTACGTTAATTTTTTTCTACAAAATTTCATATTTAAAGTTAATTTGAAGGGTGTATTTATTTTTTTTTATAAAAATATATAAAAAATATAAAAATTTATATTAATTTTAGTATCAGGTAAATTTAATTAAATAATTAATAAATTAAAAGTTAATTTTTATTTTTTCAATATAAATTTATGACGAAAAAATATATTTAATACACTTTTAACATATATCCTTAAGGTACAAATTAGACAAACCATAATTTGAATTATAAGAAGTATTCAAATATATATATATTTAGGACCTATGTAAAGGGATCATTTTTATTTTTGTAACTAATTTTTATAGAGACATGATAATTTTATTTAGGTAAGAATAAATATAACAAATAGTTAAGATCTAGTTATTTTAACATAAACTTATATAAATTTTCACATGGGTTATATATGATTTTTTTGGTATTAAACAAAAGTTCATTTGATATATACATAACCTTACCAAAAATTTATTATTTTTATATTATTTATTTAATGATATTAAATTATATGTTATTTGAAAGTTGTTAAATATATCTAGTTAATATAAAATTTGTTGTGGATGATATAAATGGTATTTGCATAAAAATGGTAATTGATTTAAAAACCAATATAAATTATAGTCATATAAACTATTAAAATTTCATTTATTAGTGTTGTACTGTAAGTATAAATTTCTGGCTGCGTCCCTGCTTAGGCGAAGTGTCTGACCAAAATTTAAGTGCCCGGCGACCTACTTTTTTAGGCCGAAACGTTTCCCACAACTTTTGAGTCACATATTGTTTCGATCGACATTCAACCGACTCGAACGTGCGGTTGCAATTACTTGCAAAGGTCGGCTCGTGTAAAGTGAGGGCTAATAATGCACTCCATAAAGCCAAAAAAGAAAAGATTCTCACGGCAATTGCTTGGAGTGAAGTTCAACAGAACTTGGTATTTGTTTAGATTATTGGTCATCAAGGAAGTTTCCTAGAAATTGTGGTCATCTCCCACCCTCCCTCAATATAAAGAATGATTTCTTCAGCTTCCGGGGAATGTAAATTCATTCTTCATCAACTTCTTAAGTTCGTATCATCTCAACTAATCCACAGCGGCAACAGCCATGGCTAACAGTCAGTTTGAAACCGCAGATTCTTCCAGAACATTGACCCTTAACAAATCTCCATCTTTTTCCCTTGCTCCTTGCATTGATAGGAACAAACTTGCTGTGCTAGTTAAAGAAAAAGACTCTGCTTCTCTTTACCAACTCGGTGGGGTTGAAGGCGTTGCCACCGCTCTCAGGACTGAGTCAGAAAATGGGATCCGAGATGATGCTGAGGAAGGTAGAAAAAGGCAGGACATTTTTGGTTCAAAAATACTGTGTTCCTATCAGCGTGTCCTCCTCCATTATTGCCTTCCATTTCTTCTTCAGAAACTTCCTTCTGTGCAAAAGCAATGCAACGAAGGTTACTAGCACCCATGCTTTGAATTATCCTCTCCATCTCCTTTATCCCGTCTCTATCCATCGACCTTACCTCCCCATTACTATAATAATAATTCGAACACATTCCCAAAATCATTTCTGCAGCTCCTTTCCAATGCACATGGATGGTGTTCGTATCATTTCTGAAGAAGAAACGGAAGGCAATAATGGAGGAGGACACGCTGACAGGAACACAGTATTTTTGAACCAAAAATGTCCTGCCTTTTTCTAACTTCCTCAGCATCATCTCGGATCCCATTTTCTGACTCAGTCCTGAGAGCGGTGGCAACGCCTTCAATCCCACCGAGCTGGTAAAGAGAAGCAGAGTCTTTTTCCTTCACTAGCACGGCAAGGTTTTTCCTATCAATGCAAGGAGCAAGGGGAAAAGATGGAGATTTGTTAAGGATCAATGTTCTGGAAGAATCTGCGGGTTCAAACTGACTGTTAGCCATGGCTGTTTCCGCTCTGGATTAGTTGAGATGATACAAACTTAAGAAGTTGATGAAGAATGAATTTACATTCCCTGGAAGCTGAAGAAATCATTCGTTATATTGAGGGAGAGTGGGAGATGACCACAATTTCTAGGAAACTTCCCTGATGACCAATAATCTAAACTATGAAGGAGCGGGTCAATCAAACCAAGAAGGAAAGTATCCAGGCCAATCAAACTCAGAGCAATAATCAAAGAATATTATGACCAACGGTCAAGTAACGTTACTCTCCTTAATCCTAGGCATAACAAATGGATCTGATCATGTAATTACAATATATATATCTCTACTCTTGTACAGTACACTCATCAAATACAACTCAGTAAACCTTTCAAATCCTTTATATTTTTCTTCATGGTATCAGAGTAGGTCAATTTCTGCATCTGAATACTCTTAATCTGTTCTTTCTTCAACCAAGTCCTTATCTATCAGTTCTGATTGTTTCTTTTCAAATCAGAAACCATGACAAAGAACAAGACAAAGCTTACCATTCAAAGCTTCCATCAAATGGCAAGCTTGGTATCGGTTAAGCTATCAAGTGCAAACTGCCTCCTTCGGAAATCACAAGTTTATCCATTGATCCGGAGTGCTCAACTCATTGATCATCTTGAAGAAGAGGCTCCAGCGTTGACTATCTCCAAGAATGCGAAGGAAGAGTCTAATCCAGAATTTGAAAATTGGCTGAACAATGATGGCCTTCTAACTAGCTGGTTGCTTGGTACCATGAATGAAGAAGCATTGAGCATGGTAGTTGGTTGTGAATCAACTTTCCAGATTTGGAGGTGTCTTGAGGAACATTACTTGGCTTCCAAAAAGGAGCAAGAATTACATTTAAAAGGCCTACTAGCAGTGAAAAGAAGTGATGGTGAATCTCTTGAAGACTTTGAGAAAAAATTTAAAAACACCCGTGATCAATTAGCTGCAATCCGTAAACCTCTCGATGATTTGGATAAGGTATTTCAACTCTCTAGAGTTGTAGAATCAAGGTACCAGCCTTATAACCTTGCAGTCCTATCAAAGGCTCCATATCCAACCTTCAATCAGTACACAACAGGCTTACAGAATAATGAGAGGGACTTATAAGCAGCAGAACAGGAGAACAAAGATAAAACTCCAGTTTATGCTCAAACATTTATGGCACACAAGGGGAAAGGAAATGAAGGCAGAAGCTACAGTGGTAGATACTTCAACTCTAGGGGCAGAGGTTTTGTTCAAGCTGGAAATTACAATTGGTTTGGTAACCAACGAACTGGAAATTACAACTCATTTGGTAACCACAAGAACTTCATAGCCAATAACAATCCTTTATCACAACAGAATATGCCACAAAAGTTTCAGCAACAAAAAAGGCTCAATCAACAAGGAGAGAAGCCGTGTCAAATTTGTGGAATTGTAGGACATACTGCTTTAAAATGTTGGTACAGGTTTGATCATGCATATTAGAGTGAGGAACTACCTCAAGTCCTTGCAACCATGACTCTATTGGAGAAAAAAGATCAAAATACCTATGTGGACACAGGTGCAACTGATCGCATGACCTCAGATGCAGGTAAACTTTATACTAAAAGGCCTTATACTGGAAACCATAAAGTGGTTACAGATGATGGAACTCCTTTAGATATCTCTCACATTGGATCTGCATCTATTGGTTCTTTAAAACTTAATAATGTTCTGGTTGTTCCTAATCTCAAGAAAAATCTTTTATCTATCAGTAAATTTACTAAAGAAAACCCTTGCATTTTTAAGTTCTCATCTAATGGTTTTGTGATTAAGGACCAAGTAACACAGACGGTGTTGGCTAGAGGCACTAAAAAGGGGCAGCTTTATGCATTGGAAGAGGAACAAAAGCATGTTTTAGTAGCTATCTCAAATAAAGCTACTGATTCTATATGGCATCAGAGGCTAGGACATCTAAATTCCAGCACTCTAAAAACTCTTGTTTCAAAAAAAGAGCATCTCTATTTCGAATTGGACAAAACCTTCCTATTTGTACACTAGTTGTCAAATGGGGGAGAGTTGTAAGCTTCCTTTTCTAAAAAATAATGAAAGACCTAAATCCTTATTTGAGAAAATACATTGTGATTTATGGGGGCCTTCTCTAGTTCAATCAATTAATCATTTTGTTTATCATGTGATATTTGTGGATGATTATAGCAGGTATACTTGGTTCTACCCGATACATAAGAAATCTGACTTTTTTGGTGTGTTCTTGAAATTTCAGAAGATGATCTCCAACCAATTTAACAAAACTATAAAAATTTTCCAGTGTGATGGAGGAGGAGAATTCTCCAGTTTAGCATTTGTTAATCGCCTAGCAGAAGGTGGTATTAAGCAACAAGTATCATGTCCTGGTACACCAAAACAGAATGGTGTTGCTGAAAGGAAACATAGGCATATTGTTGAGACAAGTTTGACTTTATTATTGCACGCTAATATGCCATATCTTTATTGGGTTGATAGCTTTTCTACTGTTGTTTTTCTCATTAATAGAATGCCTACATCTGTGTTAAATAATAAATCTCCCTATTATTTGCTTTATGGTAAGGTCCCTGATTACTCAATGTTAAAAGTGTTTGGTTGTCGTTGCTTTCCTTATCTTAGAGATTATGTTGCCCATAAGCTTCAACCTAGGTCTTTATCATGTGTTTTTATTGGTTATAGTCCTATTCACAAAGGGTATAAATGTTTACACCCCTCTACTCAACACATCTACAT